ACTGACCATACTGGAGAGCAGCTTCAGAAAGTGATGCTACAAGGGGAAGCTGTGATCTGGAGTCTGCTACAAGGTCTGCTGAGGACTTAGGGCAGGAGCCCAACTTCCTCTGCACCAGCCAAGGAAAAGAGGGCAGCAGAAAAAGGACAAATATACAAACAGTTAGCACTTAGATGTCTGGGTTGGCAGGTTGCCCTGCCCTACTCTGCAGTGCTCTTATGGTGTGTGTGTTGTTGGGCGTGCCTTGTATTGATGTTAGGTACTGAGAAAAACCTCGTGGTTATTGTCCAGGATGGTCAAATTTAATTTATTTTTGCTTGATATTCCCACTTAGAGGAAGAATAAAGAAAAAAAATAAAAATGGGGAGGTAAGAAGGATAAGGACTGACTTACTCTGATAAATATTCCCCATGTTCACCAATTAACCTGTGACTGTAGGAGATACTGTTGACACCACCATGGCCCATGCCAGTGTATGAAATCCAGATGGGAGGGTGAAGGCCCAGTGGCTTAAAATGAAAGGCTGCCCTAAAGTTGTGGCCTTTGTTTTGCACAAAGTTCCAAGAAGAAAGAAACGTACCCAAACGTGTGAAAGGTTCACCATGGAACGGCCAGTGCACACAATGTACCTTTGGTCTGAGACAAGGAGAAACCTCCAGAGTCCCCTTGGAGCAAAGAAGGAGTTTGGCTGGTTGAGGCACTTGTTCTGCATTGTGGAGGGGGGCAGGGAGGGGCGTGATTTTTTTTTTTCACTTCTTTTTTTCTGCAGAGAAATTTTATAAAACAAGTCACATCCTGACGACACCGTTGCTGTTGGGTTTTTTTGATAAGCTGTGGTTCTCGTGTGTCCAGTGTGTTGTGCAAATGAAAACCTGTTCAAAAAAAAAAAAGAAAAAGGAAGAAAAAAAAAGACAAAAAAAAGAAACTCCTTCACTACATGAACCGTCAAGCAGTATTCAGAGCAAGTATTTGTTGTGAACTGTAGAATATATCAACTGCTAACACTACTCTGTGTTCTGGTTGTACAGCTTGAAATGTCCGTCTCTTAAATTAAGAGGCAGCGTATCTCGCACCGCCCCCCCTGCCCTGACTCCCAGTGTTATTCCCGAAAGCAACAGCCCAGGCAGCAGTTCCTGCTGCCGGGAATGGCGGGAGGTGCCGGGGCAGGACCTGGAACCACCACCTGGCACCTGGAGCCACCTCCTGGTACCTGGAGCCACCCCCGGGTCACCTGCCCCTGGGCTGCGGTGGGGAGGGGTCGATACGCTGCCCCTTGACAATGGCTTTGCTTTTTTGTCCTTCAGACCTACATATACAGTCCTGTTTTAGATGTTCTTATAAGAAAACGAGTTTTTAATGTGCCAAGTTGTATATATCTGCTGCGTGGATGTAAAGCAATACAGTAGTTACATGTTCCTTTTTAATGGACCAAGCTTGTCCTAATGTACATTCTTGTTATTATTATAATTATTTTACTCTTAGTGGAACATGACTCATTCCATTAACTTTTCTGTGTTGATTTCAAAAGAAAAAAAAAATGGGAGGAAAAAAAAAAAAAAAAGAAAGGAAAAAACCCTTTGAGAAAAAATATTTTATTAAAAAAAAAATGAAAAAAAAGAAATAAGAAAATAGTTTGGAATATTTTCTTACTGTAGAGAAGCACTGTACAGTACCAGGAACCCTGAGTATAAAATACTCGTGCGTGTAGTAGGAATATCGCATGTCCAGAATCTTGAGTTGTCTCCTTTAGTTTCAAACAGAAATCATTGTCTCCAATGGTGTTAAAACACTAAAAATGTTTTTAAAAAAAATAAAAGTGCGTACAGAAGCAAGACACTAGCTCTGTCATTTTATCTTTCTTTTGTTGAAAGACTAAACAAAATGTTTTTTAGACAATCAAATGTTAGGTAAGTGCAAAGAATTGTTTTTTCTTACTGGTGTAGAAATTAATGACTTTTTTTATTTTGGGGGTTATTTTATAATAACGAGAAGACCAGAGTGTCACCAGGATCGCTGTTTTCAGAACAGGAAGCACTACATTACTGCAAATAGATATGAACTCTTTAGTCTGCATGGGTGTAGGCTGTGTGATTGCTGAAAATAAATGCTGCTAATATATTTCCTTTTTACAAAGCATATCTAAATAGATCATTGTTTTGATGTTAATCTTTGTAAATTATGTATTACCAATTTTAACATTGGATGTAATTGCATAAAAAGCCTGCATCTCAATCCTGAGAGAGTCTAGTATTAAATGGAAAATCTTTTCCTATCAATGACTTGTGGGGTTTTCTTTCCTTGCCTCTTTGTCTCAGCCCTTTCTGTCAGGTCCTGACCCTCTCCCAGGGTCTGTTGCCCCGGCTCTTCTGAATACCCACTGGCCTGAGGGGTGCTGGGCTTTTGTGAGGATAGAATTTGGTGTTGATGGTTCTCCTAGTCAGAGCCTGGCAGGGGGGATGGTGGAGCATGTGAGCAGAAACAGGAGCACCAGCTCCTCTGCAGAGCTGTGGTCACAGATCAGTGCTGGAGCCCCTGGAGCTGCATGTTCAGAACCTGTGCCCAGAGCAGGAACTCCCAGCACTGTGTTGCCTCCACAGAACAATGGAGCTGGCAGGGGACTCTGGAGATCCTCTGGTCCAACCCTCCTGGAAGAGCAGGATTGCCTGCAACACATTACACAGGATTGCATCCAGGCAGGTGTCCTAGCTCGTGCCCATTGTCCCTTTTCCTGTCATTCATTAGATGCCACAAAAGAGTCTGGCTCCATCCTCCTGACACTCACCCTTTGGGTGTTTATAGACATTGATAACATCGCCACTCAGTCTTCTCCTCTCCAGGCTAAACTCTCAGCCTTTTCTTGTCAGAGAGATGCTCCAGTCCCCTAATCATCCTCATTGCCCTCTGCTGGACTCTCTCCACCAGTTCCTTGTCTCTCTTCAACTGAGGAGCCCAGAACTGGACCCAGTTCTCCAGATGTGGCCTCACCAGGGCAGAGCAGAGGGGTAGGAGACCCTCCATTGACCTGTTGGCCACACTCTTCCTAATGCACCCCAGGACGTCACTGGCTTTGGCCACAAAGACATATTGCTGGCTCAGGGATAACTTTCTGTCTACTAAGACTCCAAGATCCTTCTCAGGGCTGCAGTTGGGTTCTGTTGGCATCGTCCCCACATAACCCCAGGCAGTGCCATGGCCCTCCAGCACCAGCCCAGTGTGTGTCAAAGACCTCATAGGGCCTATTCCTACCAGGCCTAAGCAGCAGGGTAAGCAAGAAGGGCTGCTGCTAGCCCTGTCACCTGCTGTCACCTGCATACAGCAGGACCCTGAGGAACAGGCACAGTGACTGTTGTGTCCCTCCAAACCAGCCTTCCCACGGCTCCATCACCCTCACACCGCCTCCTCCACCCCCAGCAGGGTTGGCACTAACAAGACATGGTCCTGACACATCTTCTGGGCTTTAAACATCCTCTGGTTCAAAGGTGGTTTCTATGAATGTGTTTAGTAACTATTTGTGTTTCTCAAGAATTAACTAGATCATTGATGACCCTCCTTTAATGTTACTTGATTTATTTATTTTTCTTGTTCCATTCCCTACCCAGAATCTCTATAGTCACCAAAATGCCCATCAAAATGATTGACCCACACACTAGAGACCCCACACTGAGTGCAGTGCTGCTTTGTTTTGTTTAATTAAAAAGAAGTTGAAGTTGTACCTGGATTCATCTCCTGCTGGCTTGACCCCATTTTAAAGTCCAGAAGCAGCTGTGGAATTCAATCAAACCTACTTAAGGCAAACGAAATAACATTCCAATTTAGAGCTACTGTCCCTTGTCTGGGAGTAAAAATTCCAGAGAGAGACATGAAAATGGGAACAGAGTAAAAAGAAAGTGGTTTTATCCTCACAGCAGACAGTCCATAGACTGAAGGGTGGGCTCCTCAGCACTGCCCCAGTGGCAGTTTGAGACATGGATTTTGGTCCCTATGGGGGAGCACTGGCCCAAGTTGCCCATCAAGGAAACTGCTATTGCCTCATGGGCCCTTTGTGTCTCCTTACTGGGTGCAAAAGGTTGGTAACAAATCACAAGTAATGCAAAAAACTTGGAAGAGGGGAGGGAGGGGCCACCCAGCCCCTGCTGCAGTTCTGCGGCTGAGTTAAAAGATTAGTTGCAGATTAATAGATAAACAAACCAACACAGACCTGTACCAGAGCTGTGCAGCTGCCACCTCCTGGGGCTGGTGCCGAGCCCACATGACGTGGGTTATTTCTAGCTCTAGATGGCTGCAGCTGCCTCTTCCAACACCATGTAGGACACAGGGCCCTTCTGCCAGGGTATGAGGCCTTGCTGGGCTCTGAGGTGATACCTGATATGGAGCAGCAGAGCAGCCTGTGTCTGCAAGAGCATCTCCTCACCCACCCTGAGCAGGAGCCTGGGCTCCCCTGGCAGGGACTGGGCATGAGGCCCTTCCCAGCCCCCCTGCAGCAACTACCCATTCACACACATAGACACACGAGTCATAATCTTTATTTCCAGCTTTTTTCTCCCTGGAATGAACTCATTCCTGTGGTTACAACTATTTACAGAGTCCTGGGACTGCACAGCAGTGCCTGGGCCACAGGGCCAAGCAGGTGGAGGTGGCAGTGGTGCCAGGACATGGCAGCACGGAGATGAGATACAGGACTGTGAGTACTGCCCAGGGACAGGGTCCTTCCATCCCCTGGCACAGGTGTGGGAGCAGCTGAGGAAACATAAGTGAGAGCAGGTCCCCAGTGGGGCCCATGGGGAAGCGCCAGCAGATCTGTGGGGACAGGCAGAGTGGTGGCTCACAGGACATGCCCAGAGGACAGTAACATCACATGAACGAGCAGCAGCAACAGGCACCAGGGCAGGGCACCCTGCAACACCACCAGCTCCAAGCACGGTGAAGGAGAAGACAGTCCTTCCCCAAGGTGGCACTTAACTCAGCAAGATCAGCCGCTTCCTCAGGTCTCCTCCACCTCCTCACAAAACAAGGGATGTGTAGCCAACAGGAACTAGGCCAGTGCTGTTTCCATGGCAGCAGCAAATCCAGTCTTCATCCACAGTGGAGAGCAGCTGCAGGATGTCTCCTTTTTGGAAGCTCAGGTGACCATCAGCAGCACCCGTGTGGTCACACAGTGCCCGAACAGCCCTGCACAACAACCACCACCAGGGATTCATCCCCTAAGGCCCTCATGTCCCCTGAGAATCTCCCACAGGACTCAGGACAGGTTTTAAGGCTCATGTGTGGAGCCTGTGACCTCCCCCTCAGGCAGAGATGCCACCTGATGATGGACTTGATTGAGAAGCCACATCACAAAACCATCCTGCCAAGCAGACCCTGGGAGCAGCCACCAAGCGTGAGGGGAGCTCCGGGTCAGGGCCATCGAGAGCTGGTGGGAGGGGGAGGCCACCAACACCCTGAGCTAGCATGGACAGAACCTGTGCAAGCACAGAAGGACCATGACAGCTCTTCTGACCTGCCAGTTCGGCCAGAGCTGCTACAGACTCCCCAGAGAACCTGCTCTGAATCCAGAAAGCACATGAGAGAAAGAAAATGCCACAATTCCTCCATAAAAATATCTGGGGAAAACAACTGAGCCCAGCTCGGTAGAGACACAGGATCACCCAAAGCTCAGCAGGAGGCTGAGGGAATCCCCAGGAGAACAGTCAAGGTGCAAGGTAGCAACAAGGTGCAGTGTCAGCCTTTCCCTAGAAAGGTGTGTAGGACATCTACAGTCTGGATGGACATAATTTTGGACAATAGGAAAAAGTTCTTTCCTGTAAGGGTGGCGAGATGCTGGAACAGGCTGCCCATGGAGGTTGTGGCTGCCCCCTCCATGGAGGTCTTCAAAACCAGGCTGGATGGGGCCTTGAGCAACCTGGTCTAATGAGAGGTGTCCCTGCCCATGCAGGGGGTTGGAACCAGGTGATCTTTAAGGTCCCTTCCAACCCAAACCATTCCATGATTTTATGACTCTATGCCTGGAAATGGCCCCTGCTTTGTCACCCCCTCCCAGAAAAAAATCCATCACCACCTTTTCAGCCCCAAACACTACAGTGCCCTGCATCACCTCTGGGTCTGGGGTGTGTCAGACGTGCTCCTCTCTGGCTTCTCTTGATCACAGGTCTTATCAGATGTCAGCCCCTTCACCACCACGGCCATGACATGTGTGCTGGGAGACAGCCAGCTAGAGGGTCTCCTGCCACAAAGCAAAGGAGCCACAAGCTCACCTAGGAAGCCTTTTCCCACCCATCCTGCTCAGAAAACTATTCTGGTGATCTGGGTGCTGACAAGGCTCTATCAAGCACCACCAAGCATCCACCATGAGCTCCTGCTGCTCCAAAGGACTGAGACAATGTGATGTCTCCAGCACCTGGGACATGTACTAATGCCTGGCACAGTACAACAGCCCAGGATCAGAACCTGAACAAGGGACAGAATGAGTCACCCCACGAGGCCAGCGAGCCCTATGCTGAGCTCCCCATGCACTGCCTGGGAGAAAATCCCTCCTCAGCAACTTCTGCTCCCCCCACCCTGCCGGCCCAACTTGGGTCTTACCTGGATCTTGCTGAGATGGTGTCAGGACTGGGAGGGAAGCTCCTGGCAGAAGGGCTGGTGGCTCCAAAGAGCCAGCCCAGCCAGCTGCCCTTGTCAGGACCAGGAGGACCACCAGCCTCTGGGTCAGAAGGGGCTGCCTGGTTCCTATTCACATGGAGTTTCTCTCCAGCAGTGAAAGCACCTGGCTTGGCTGGTGCTCCAGCAGGCAGGATGAGGTCTTCTGGAGAAAAGGCCCCAGAGGTGTCAGCATTGCTGCTGGGCTTTGAATTGGAGAGTTCAGGGACAGCTTTGTTCTGAAGGAGCTGCAGCTCTGTGCCTCTGGGCTCATCCACGGATTGGTGGGGTCGTGCAGCCTGGCTGGGACTGGAATCCCCTGCCGCCATCCGCAGCTTTGTCCACCAAATGAGGGGGAACTTTTCCTTGCTAGGAGCAGTGTAAATTCTGGAGGCCTGGCTCAGCTGGCCCCACCAGCCACTGAGGCCAGCCTCAGTGTCTGGAGGGGCTGCCTGGGGCCTGTGGGTCTCTGGGATGCTGTCAGCTCCCAGGAAGGTGCGACTGAGCTGGCCACCCCACCGCAGCACATGCTGGAAGGTTTGCTGCAAGACAGCCCCCACATGGGGGCCAGGGACCAGCCCGCGCACTGCCTGGGACTGGTACCTCGTGCTGCCTTCTGCACCCACTGCCCTTCCCACAGTATCAGGGGGGACCTCGTCTTCCAGGCTTGCCCCCACAGCACTGGTTGGGCCCTCCAGAGAAGGCTGCAGAGCCCCCCGAGCCTGCACAGCGTGATGGGCAGGAGACGGGGGTGACTCCAGCTGACGGGACAACGGTCGCACATCTACAGAGAGGTGGTGGTGTTCAAAGAGCAGGTCAAGGTGGAAAGTCAGCACTGAGAGGGGCTGGATGAGCAGCAGCAGTTCATCAGCAAGGTGGGGAAGAAGGCCTTGACTCAGTGCAAAGAAGGCCACGGGAGAATAGAGCGTCGAGATGACACCTACAAGACACGGATGGCACTGAACAGCTGCGAAGGCCTTGCTCCTGTCCACAGATCCCTCTCAGGGCCAGCTGGTCTGTCCTAGCAGGGACAAATGTATGCTCCAAACTGCCTGACTGCCCTCATCCAGGATGACAGCCAAGGAAAACAATGCCCTTGTCCAGTACAGAAATTCCAGCCAAACATTGTGGGTGGAATGGGCATGGGATTATCACCTTGGGAAGCAGGAGAGAGCTTGGGTGGGGAGCTTCTGGGCACTGTGTCCTTACCTGGGCTCTTCTGCAGGTGAGAGATCCACAGCTCTAGCTGCTTAATGCTAAACATGACAAAGGGAACCCAAGTTAGAGGTTTTGGGACTCTGCTCCAACCTGCTGTTGCAGCAAGGACAGCCTGGGCCACCAAGGGCAAACACTCACTTCAAAAGGCCAAGGATAAAGGCATGAAACTTCTGTCTGGTGCTGCTGAGAGGGGCCAGCCTGGCCACATGCCAGCAGAGGGACTGGAGAGAGCGGGTGTTGGGGCCTGTGGAACACACAACACAGTCACTGCTCTGGGGGAAGATCCTCTCCCAGCCTGGGCTGGAAAAACTACAGACATCTTGGGATGCTGACCCCAACAATTCCAGGAGCAACTTCCTCTCACCAACCTGTCTTCACCGAGGCTTCCACCACGCTCCAGGGGGAGTTTTTCCTCTGGCCTGTGATAACATCCTTCTGGAAGGGCTTCAGCCCGTCCTCCACCAAGGCATAGAGCGCAGGGCAGAGGGTGTGCAGCAGCAGGTACCCCACATCTGGGCTGAGCCGGCTGTCCCCCAGCTGGGCCTGCAGCAGCAGGAGAGGAAAGGAGCAGGAGAGGAAGGGCAGCACCTAACCCCGAGCCCGAAGAGAGAGTGGTGGGATCGTCCCGCAGCCCCCCCGGCTGCCCTGGCTCCTGCCCACCCCAGCCTCTCGCAGCAGCAGGTACCCCACATCTGGGCTGAGCCGGCTGTCCCCCAGCTGGGCCTGCAGCAGCAGGAGAGGAAAGGAGCAGGAGAGGAAGGGCAGCACCTAACCCCGAGCCCGAAGAGAGAGTGGTGGGATCGTCCCGCAGCCCCCCCGGCTGCCCTGGCTCCTGCCCACCCCAGCCTCTCCCTCACCTTCTGCACCAGGTTCCGCGCGGTGCTGAAGTGGTCGATCATCTTGTCCACGGCGGCGCTGAGGGCGATCAGCAGGGCTGGGG